GCCTTTAACCTTCCTAAGGGAATGGGTGAAATGCAGAGGTAATTTTCTCCAATGTGAGATCAATAAAGTTCAAATATTAGCGGCCTGCAAACAGGAAGCCTGGGTTCGTATCCCAGCTGGGGGGAATGAGCTGCGAGTGTGAGTCCTTAGGTTCTACATGCTGATGCCTGCTTTGGGGAGTGGCGGCCTAGTGGTTAGTGAATCCTGGGGTTCTGAGTTCAAACCTCACTCCCTCAGATTGATAACCCCGGGATGGGTTAAATGCAGAGAGTTAATTTTGTTGCTCTGTACTTCCTTTAACATTTTTAATTGTTAGAACGCAGGGAATGTTGAAGGAATCTGTGTCGTAGATCAATTTCTAAAACTGATTTCTTATTGCAGAAAAGGCCCTACAGGAACCTTTCCATGAATTTGGTCAATTTGACACAAAGTAAAATAAAAAAATAAATAAATTCTAGCTAAAAGAAAATGTACAATTTGTCTTAATTCATATGTTAAGCAGAGCAGCAAATAGTTAAGATCCTGAGAATAAAAAGTTTGTTATTCCTTAGATGCCTGGTGTCCCTAATTAGCCTCATACCTAAATTAATACCAATTTTGAAATAAATAACCTTGATTTAATCCAACATCTCATTAACATCAAAAACACTAATGTTATTATTATTATTATTTTTAATATAACAGTGTATAAATGTGGGTATTAGAGGGTTGAAGCGATTTATGGGTTTTTTGATTCATAAAATCCTGGAACTTCATAGACTTTTTAAATCTGTGGCACATTAGAAAATGTAGCGGTTTTTCCTCACGTTCATGCAGAAAGGGAGCAGGACAGGCTGCTGGGTGCAGCCTCCTGCCCGTTCCACTTCCTCCTCTGTTCCGCCTCCCTCCTCATCCTCCTTCACCTGCCGCCCGCTGTAGTAAATGATGGGCTGGATGCAGTCTCCGTCGGCCAGCAGCAGAGTGTGTTGCTCTCCTGCACTCGCATCCCACACCCTGATCCCCTCCGACAGCTGAAAGTGAAAACAAACCACATAAAAACCCTGAAGAAATGAAAGGATACCTTAATGAGTGGGGGATGCAGGTCAGTGTACAGACCTTTGCGAGGCGTGGGACAGTGCTGGGAGTCTCCATGTGTCCCAGCTGACCGCAGATGTTGCTGCCCCATGAATACACCTGGAGGGAGGATAAACTTTCAATAAGATCAATAAAAAGTGTTTGAAACAGTTGATGTGTAAAAGAGAAACTGACCTGAGACTGAGCCGTCAGAGCGATGGAATGATGAGCGCCGGCAGCCACACGGATCACCTCCTTCTTGTTCAGGCTCTTGATGCAGAGCGGCTGCAGTCTTGAAAAAAAACAAAAAAACCCGGGTCTGTTCTCTTATCTTTAGATGTAGAGAAACCTTTCCAGCGGCAGTGTGATGATTTGTTTAAATCACTCTCTACCTGGCCAGGTTGTCTCCATGTCCTAGCTCGCCGTGTTCGCCGTGTCCCCAGCTCCAAACCTCGGTCTGCAGGGTGGGAAACACCTCCTGGTCCTCAGGGACGCCCCCTCCCATTGGCGTGAGGGCGAAGGTCCTCGTCTTCGGTCCGCGTCCCATTTTCCTCAAAAGCCTCGGCGACACTGCAGACAGAACAAATAAATGTATACTAAATTATATCAAAATATATTAATTAATTATTAATATTATATATTTAATTATATATTATTTTATATACTTTTAAAAGTCAAATAAATAAAATAAATAAGTCTAAGTATGGAGAAATTCCTAAGCAAGCATTCAGAACAATTTGATCCACAGAGACAAGCTCAATAAAAATGCAACTCATGCGGCACACAGGTGGAGGCGATGCCTGCATTTAACCAGCAGGGATAATAAAGGAAAACAAGCTGATGGTTTAGAGCAAGAGAAACATGCTGGTTTGAACCATGATGTCCTGCCCGTTTCTACAGACTTGTTGCCGTCTGCTTAGGATGGATATACCGTTTATAAAGCAATAAAAGTTTATTTTCTTTTTACTGTACTTATCATTTCAAACTCTGAATTTAACACGATTAGTGAATAGAATGCATGATGACTGACAGCTGCAGTCCTTGTGTCTGCAAGACTAAATCAGAGTATCTAACTTTGCTGTGAAAGGACTGTATGAAAGTCGTATCCCATCTGGGACGACGAGGAGAAGCACCTAGATGGAAAAAAATGACTCGACTGGATTCAAGATGGATGGATAGACAAAGAGTAAAATGGAGGAAAGAGTTCATCATTGAGGCCAAGAGGATTCCCGTCAGGAAACTGTTCAACAACAACAGAGGATCGCCTCACTGGAAAAAACACTATGAGACCAAACAACAACATTTAGTCTCTGATTGGAATCAATGCAATATTTCTGTGAGAAAATTAGTATAAAAAGGATGATTGAGATAAAGGATGAACTTATAGACTGTTGGACGGACTGATGGGTGAATTCATGGGCAGATTGAGGTGAAAATCATGAATGAATGGGTGAACTGATGGAATTGGGTGAAAAATTACAGACAGCTGGATGAATTCATTCATTCGTGAGTAAAATGAAAATCTAGTCATGTTGAATTGATGAATGGATTAAATGATGGAAGGCTGTACGGGCAGACAGATGGGCAAATTCATGAATGACAAGGTGAGCCCATTTATGAATGTATGAATTCATGGATGGATGGATGAACCGGTTGATGGATAAATTAATAGATATAGGAATTCATGAATTCCTGGGTTCTTGAACAGTTACATTCATGGATGGATGAATTTGGAAATGAATTCATGGACATTTGGGTAGATTGGTGAATCAAATGATTAATTCATGTAACGTTAAAAAAATGAATTAAATGGTGAACCGATCAATGAATGGATTAATTAATGTACTGCTGAATTCATGAATGAAATGGTTAATTGATG